GACATCTGATTGGTTACTGCGGGCTCCTCTCCATTGTAGGAATTGCTGACTGACATCCACCCATGAAGGCATTTTGATATTTGCATAACTCCTCCCAAGAGCCAGCCCACTGCTTGCATCAGGGCTGAGGGTGTTCTATCAAAGATTGCGACTGGGTTGGAATGTGTGACCGGTCACATGGTCACACATTTTAAGGTAATCCCGCCCACTTTTTCGGCGGCGGAATATGTGACCGGCATAAGTTGAAGAATTCCAGCGCTTTCTCTGCCTGTTCACGGGCAGATTGGCATCGCAGATGGTATGCGCAGGAGAACCGATCTGCCCTGGAACAGCTGAGAAAGCTTTGCAGTTCTTTACCTTTTGCCGGTCACATATTCCATCGCCGAAAAAGTGGGCGTGATTATGTTAAAATGTGTGACCACATCACCGGTCACACATTCTAACGCAGTCACAAACTTTGATAGAACAAGGGCTCTTGAAAGAAGTTCTACGGCAGGGTGGCAGGGATGCTTTGTTGTTCCCAGGAAGCTATGTATAGCACCCTGCTGGCTCCTCCCACCAGCCATGATATGCTTGCTTTCCATAGAGAAGCACAGATCTAAAAATAAGGTATGTAATGAAAAATGAAATGAAAAATGAGGGCGGAACCAGGGAAGGCAAAATATGTGCAGATTAGATTTCAGCTTACACTGAATTGCTCTTTAAATGAACTTGTCAGCATTCCTGAACTATTCATTCCATATGCACGATGGCCGGCACATCATGATACTTTCACATACTGTTCTCTCTTCCTCGGGAACAAAATGTGCAAATTTCTAATTGCAGCCAATGCTTGAAACGGTGGCAGCCTGCAGTATCCAACAATGCAAATCACGGGGGTCAATGGCTGCCAGGCCACCCTGGAGACACATAGAATACATAGAGGTGAACTGTCCCACATTGTGTCAATGAGTTCAGCCCCATCCTTGTCCTCAGGCATCCATTCTATATAAAATGAGGCATTTGGAAGCTGCATGTGGGTGCAGGGAGGACCGGTCCTTCTATGAGCCAACCCTACGGGTCACTGGTCTCTATTAGTCACATGACCAGCATTATGGGATGGCTTGAGCCTCAGCCAAATCCATAATTGGGCACTTGCCGAGGGACACATTGTTATATCATAAATATAACAATGTAATTGTGGCAAGCGGTAGAATGGGGGGAGGGGGCTTGCGCTGAAAAATCTAAGTAGGTCCAGTTTAAAAGACAACTCCGGGTAAGAATGTTCTTAACCATTGCAGTGGGGCTACCCTACCCCGGCACCGCAAGGGTTGAGTACTAGGTTAAAAAATAAGGTTATACTCACCCGAAACTCAGATCCAACTGGCTGTCACAGCGCTCCTTCCAGCCTGTCTTCCCCTCTACTCCAGAGATGGTATATCCCTTGGCGTCCTCGCGTCCTATACACTGTGTATAGAACGTGACGACTGCGGGACCTTAGACCGCTGCAGCACAGGGAGAGAGGCTTCAGGGACCGGTCTATGAGCCAGCTCAGAAGATTGGGTGAGTATAACTTATTTTATTTCTGAACCCAGGTGAAAATGAGCAGTTAACCCTTGCAGTAAGGGGGTGGCCCCAGTGCAAAGGGTAAAAACATTTTTACCGGAGTTGTTTTTTAAAGCTGAACTGAGGGCACATAAACATTTAATTAAATAGGCTCATCTGTGACCCCAATGGTCTGAGTGTCACCCACTGTGGCTGCTGGGTGTCACACGCTGAGATGCGTGCGTAATGACATCACACGCATGAATTCATCACACATGCGTGTAATTACGTCACGTGCACTCAACTGCCAGCAGCCATCTTGATCATTGCACCAAAATGACTGACGCCCCCCCCAGCCCCTTTTGATGGTGTCACCCGGTGCGGGCTGCACCCCACCTTGTAACACAACTGCCAAAAGGTAAATATCCACTTTCTGTGCACTTTTGAAACCAAGTTATTATCTGGTGAACGCAGCAGTGGCATCACCACTGTGCTGCACGTAACCTGTGCAGAGAACAGAGATGTGGGAGGGGCCTCATGAACCCCACCCACTACAGGAGGGGCTGGACAAGACCAGTCACCCTGCACAAGTTGAGAGAGCAGCAGTGACCCGTCTTTATTACAGCAGCCAAAATTTAAAGTGACACTAAACTCAGGAGTTAAAGGAGAACTATGAGGCGAGTGCTTTTCACTCACCTCATAGTTCTAGCCGACCTGTGACAATGAGACTGTCACAGGTCGGCTCAGTAGATCGGGAGGTGAGTGAACACATAGCGGCGTTCGCTCACCTCTCGATCCTGTCACGGCTCTCTGCCGTGACAGGGGAGGGGCTGGAATCCCCCCTCCCCGCTCCGCCAGCGCCCACTGGCGGAACGGACGGGGGAGGGGGCGGGTACAGCTGGCTCTGCCTCTAGATAGGGGAACCAGCTGTCCGTCACGCAGCTGGGCGGATCCCGGCATAATTGTCGGGATCCGCTTCAGCTGTGCCGTCTCAGTATACCGCGAGCAGCAGCTGGCGGTATACTGCGGCGTCTCAGTATACCGCGAGCTGCAGCTCGCGGTATACTGAGCCTAGGGTTACGGGAGGACGCTAGTTTGTGTTCTCCCGTTATAGTAAGGAGAACTATGGGGAAAAGACTTAACCCCATAGTTCTCCTTTAAATCTTACAAATACATTCAAGGATCCTAACTATTAACAACAATGTATCTTATTTGTGTATCACTCGGCTGTAGATTCTCAAAGCATCTCTGAGGCCCCATTCACACCAAGGTGGAAGCATTTCAGTGCGGTTTACACATCATTTTTGAAAGGGCGTTTTTGGGTGTTTTGAATCGTGTTTCAGCACTAAAACGCACTTAAAAACGCCCAAAAACGCCCTGAGCAACGCGTTCCCATTGCAATCTATATAGAAAACACACTGATCAGTGCAAAAAAAGTAGCTCAGGGAGCATTTTGGGCGGCATTTTGGGCGGAGCTGCGCGATTGCATGAACGGTCCCCATAGGAATGTATGGGGTTCTTCATGTCGCTGGTTCAGCGCAGACAAATCCGCGCGACCAAACCGCCCTGGTGTGATCGGGACATGAATTGGTGCTGATACTGTCCTTTCTTCTGGAGGGGGGCTACTTTTGTTCCCCATGGTCCCTGTGTGTGTTGTAAAGTAGTCACTGCTCCAAACTCACTCCTGTGATGGACTACAATGCAAATAGTATTGGGATTATAGTCCATCCCAGGAGCGAGCTTGGAGCGGTGACTACAACACACACAGGGACCATTGGGAACAAAAGTAGTCACCCTCCAGAAGGAAGGACAGCGTCAGCACCAATTCAGAGATGATTGGAGGATCTACAGCCGAGTGATGCACAAATAAGATACATTTTTGGTATTAGTTCAGGTACTTGAATGTATTTTTAAGATTTAACTCCTGCGTCTAGTGTCACTTTAACACTCAATGACTGCACAGATCAAAAAAAAATACACAAAGCAACACACAAGAATCAGGAAAGAATACAAATGACTCTTTAATGTAATCTGCTTGATGTCTCCAATGTCTCATATTCCTAATATGACACCTGTCAGCATGTAAATGGCCAGACATTGAAATCTGATATCCTTTCCAATATGTGACCTATAAACCATCTATATATATAACACACACAACAATGTCCATGCATGAACACTCACCTACAATGGACAACAGCCTCAAAGGAAGGATAACACATCGATTAAACAGACTGCACTTGTTACAAATGTATCGGAAAGCAGAATTCCAGCCTGTCTGCGCTCCATGAAGAGTGCAAAGCACTACAATTGCAATGTGAATTGTAACCAAAAAAAGACTTTCTGGTTGGTAAATAGCACATTGATCTCATCTGATCTGTACATGAGATGTGGAGTGAAGGAGGACAGGGGGCTTTATGTGCAGTGGCAGCTGTGCCATAACCCCCAGCCCTCCAACACACACACATATATATATGTATGCATGCATCTCCTACACAGCAGCAGGCAGTGCACAGGGAAGGCTGCTCCACTCTGCCTCTGTCTGTCTGCTCCTGTGCACTCACTGCTTGCCTGCCTCTCCCTGCGCTGGGTGCCCCCCCCCCAATCTCCCTGCCACCTATCCTGCCAGGATGGATGGCACTGGCACCTTTCCTGCCAGGGTCCTAAGGATGGATGGCACTGGCACCTTCCAGCAGCTGTGCACACACTGAGCCACCCAGAGATGCAGAGGAGGAGGAGGAGAAGCAGCTCTGCAGCCCATCCTCTGGCTCCTGTCTAATTGGTCCTGAGGGAGGCAGGAAATTTGGGCAGCAGAGCTTCGCCTCCTCCACTACAGACAGCATGTAATTGGTCCTCTGTATTTTCATATAAACTGGAGGGGAATCAAAGAGCTCAGAGAGAGAGAGAGAGAGAGAGAGAGCAGACGAGCAGCTGAGAGCAGCAAGGAACTTCTCCAGGTCCTGAGCATTTGGAGGGGCCAGGAGGGGGCCCCTATGTACCTAACCCTTTCCAGGACTGGACCCTACAGACGTCCTCAGCATCATCCCCATCCTTGGCTGGGAACTGCAGCATTGCAAAAGACACCCCGAGTTGGGGCATTCGCCTGGAAGTGCTCTGGTGGCCCTGGGGGGCCTTTGGTTTTCACCCCTTTGCAGGACTCCATCTTTAACCATTTCCTGGACTTCTTCAGGATTGTATACGGATTAGCAGGAGGGGGTGCTAGGGGCAGATTATTATTACCCCCCGTCTTCTTCATTGTACCCCACTGTTAACCCCTTACTTGGTCTATCTCTAGCCTTAGCTGGGGAAGGGGGTCCGGGAATCCGGCCACTTCCGTAGCTCCAGCAGGGGCACTGTTCTGGATGGGCATAGCCGGGCAGGAGTGATCCCGGGGCACCTGTTGGATTCCGAGACCTGGCACCCCGGGGGGATTGCGCTGGCATCGCCCCATCAGCGGAGATCGGCCGTGAGAGAGAAGAGGAGGACATCACATGTACTAAGAGGGCAGGAGGGAGACTGGCTGATCCCACCCTCCCCACACCCCTCACCCTCCTCACACCCCCTCACCCGGGGGCTGCACACACACTGCCAGGGGGCACCGACTTGGAGTCATTTCAGGAGGAGTTGCGGCGGGCGATGTGATCGGCTGTGGATAATCGGGCTCTTCTCTTGGCACTGGGATTCTTCCGCTGGCACCGGAGAGGGTGGCATTGCCGGGCAGCCTGGATGTGTCTGGATGCTCATGCTGGGAGTCTGAAGGATGGAGATGTTGTGGATCCTCTTCCTGTCTCTCCTCCCCGGGCGCAGCAGGGGGCAAGAAGCCTACGGTAAGGGGGGCAGACAGGGCACAGATGGCATCTCATTGTGAAGGGGGAGGGGGTCATGCCAAGGAGTTCCTACACTGGCTTCTGGCACTCCAGGGGCCACATGTAAACGGCCCCACGTATATACTGAGCCAGCACCGGGTACCCGGGCTCACTGCTGTGCCAGGAGACACCCCCATGGCTTACTGGAGATCTGAGGGCATTGTGGTCACTGTGCGAGACCTGCAGGACTGTGAGCTGTTCCGACTGGGCACCCGGAGCCCCATTCTGTGTGATAGAGAGACAGACAAATAGATAGATAGATAGATAGATAGATAGATAGATAGATAGATGATAGATAGATATTTATTTTTCAGCTCTTTGAGCTCCAGCTATCATATATAGATACAAGTATCAATAACCTGAGAATGGTTTATACATTTATATCAATAGTTATATATTTGCTGTGTTTTCTACCCTTGAAATGCTCTATGAGCCCCAGAACTTCTATGCAATTGGGTTTTTGTATCTGATACATTCATATATATCTATTCTATATCTGCTGAGATTTACCCCCAGCCTGACACTTCATGGAGTTCTCAGGACACATTGAAGGGTAGCCCCCCACCCCCCCAATCATTAGCTGCACCCCATGCTCTGATACACTACAGTGATCTGGGAGCCCCTTTAGCCCCCTGGCACATAGACGGGATGAATCTGTCTTCATACAGGTGTGCTGTGTTATATCTAAATGTCTAGATTGTCATTGTGTTGAAAATGACCCTTCGCTTAGCCTTCTTCGCCCCCTATAATCTATATATAATACTGTACACCTCCTGCAGTGAGTGTATGTGATTTATCAATATTACACTGTGTCAGTATGTTCAACCCCGGTGACCTCACTTTAGCAGTCATTGGAGTTATCTGAGTAAATACAGAGTACCAGCCGATCAGCTCATGTATGTGATGTCTGTATGAATGGCTGTACATCCCATGCCCTGATCTCAGCTTCTTATTCTCCCCTTTCAGCTTCCTATGCCATATGTAGAATATTATAAATGTATCAGGTAAGGTAATGAACATAGAAAGCAATGCATAGATTTTCAACAATCTCCCAAATCTACTATGATAGATGAGTCCCCCATATGTTCTTTTGCAGTATATTACTAGCTGTGGCTCTCCAGCCATGGTGGGACTACAAGCTCCAGCAAGCCCTGTCGCTCCGCCACAGCTGTAGAGCTGCAGCCTGCTAGAGACAGCTGTGTCTAATAATTCTATCATCGCATGGCTGACATCTTGTAATAGACACACATCACAGACGTCAGTAACTTCTACTTTATGTGCTAAGGAGGGAGGAGGGTTGTTCCTACCTGGATAAGGGGGCACCTGGCCAGACTGCAACATATTGCAGGGTCATATATACTATAGAGTGCGGTATAACAGTACAAGTAGGAAGGCGATGGTGCATGACTATATCTATAAAACATGGACATAAAGTACGCAATTATTGACAGAAATGCCATGCAAGGTGCACACAATGCGACAATATAAGTTGGACGTGTAACAGTGGCATCAACATATGCCTAGGAGAATGGCATTTTATTGTGACATTATGGGGTAGGATATACATTGTGGCATTTTATAGCTGTACAGTATGTAACACTCATTGGAAAGTCCCATGGGACATCCAGACAAGCCCTACGGCAGTGCAGCTATTTACAACAAGCGTACAGTACATGTGCAAAAAAATACTATATGTATAATGGAAGGCTACATCATGTTATATAGGTGGTGCAGCACTGCAGGAGGGATCTGGAGAGAGAGCTATAAATGGATATAAGAGAAGGCGATGTGTGGTTTAAGAATCCTATAGAAAGATCAGGCAGTTCATAATTATTACAATGTGTACTTTTCTATCTAGATCTGTCATAAAGGATTTACTTATATTTTAACAAAAAAACTGCCAAGGAAAATCAGCTGCGTCATATGCAATGCTCCTCTCCTGCAGAGCTGACAGTCTGCACGATGTATGGACCCAGATCATAACTCTCTGTTCTGTAATAAACATAAAATAACATGACAGAGCCATCTGTGGTATGCCTTTGTCATACTATGTGACACTGGCTGGGTACCACTTCCTGCATCTCCTGCCCCTCTGATCTCCTCCGATAGAGCGCAACGGGCAGGGATGACCTTTAAGGGAATATTATTATTATAAATTATTTATATCGTGTCAACAGTTCGCACAGATCTGAATAAAGATAGGCAATACAGTTACAATACAATTCAATACAGGTGGGTTAAGAGGACCCTGCTCATGAGAGCTTACATTCTAAAGGCAGGGTCAAGTGATACAGAAGGCTTGAGTTGCGATGGATGAGAAGGTAAAAGTACACATTCTAGGTAGTGATTGGATAGGCTTTCCTGAAAAGATGAATTTTCTGGGAGTGGGAGATAGCCGGACAGATTCGGGTAGGGAGCTCCAGGAGGAAGGGAGAAGTCCTTAAGCGAGGTGGTGACTAGGAAGCTATAGAGCAGGAGGTGTTGGGAGGAGTAAAGAGGATGGTTTGGGTGATATTTTAAGAAGAGGTTGATGATGTAGCCAGGAGCAGAGTTGTGAATGACTTTGTATGTTGTAGCATTTAAAATTGTATTCACTGTGCGAGCAGAAGCCAAAGGAGTGATTGGCAAGGAGGGGCAACGGCCATCGAGCAGCTGGTAAGGTAAAAAAGTCAAGTGAATAAAGGGATTTAAATGGATAATCATAGGTCTGGAGTGGTTTGGTTGGTCACCCGTGAGTAGACATTCAGTATAGGATGCTATGAAATGCTAAATGTTCCCTCGTTCTTAAGCTCACCACACAAATTACAATCTGACTGTATAATCTCCTTTAGGTCTACCAACAACTACGTAGTGCACAGGCCTGCCTGACTGGATACAGATTGATTGGATAGTTCACGAAGGTCCTCATATGACATAATTTTGGTAAATCTAAAGTTGATCTTACAAAGATTGTACGGTCAGATTGTAACATCATGTCGGGTGAGCGGGATACTTTATACACCGGATAGAGTATAAAGGATTCCTGAGAGTTGGAGATCACAGAAAGCATATATATATGAGTGTGTGTCCAGTATACTGTATACATAAGTTTAGTTTGTAGCCAAAATAAAAAAGATGAGTGACGAAGAATGAAGAATTGCTAATTATTGGTACTTGTGTTTTGTGGTGGAAGAAGCCTCCACTCCAGCTGATGCTGCCTTGGCATTTTTGGTAAATTACACCCCAAATTGTTGGACGGACAAATTATTCCCCAATGGTCACCTGCAGCTTCAGAGGTTTGGGGGAGAAGGCTGTCAATGAACTGTAGGGAAAAAAGTAAGCTCCTTTATAAGCAATGGATTGCTAGGCAGAGTTCCTGAACAGGGCTGCCTTCTACTCCCCTCTACCTACTTCCTGGTTTGCATTGGTGGTTGGTTTAAGAAAATCTGTCAAACAGCCATGATATTTAACTTGACAAAGGGTGTTTCATGGCTGAACAGGGCTGCCTTCTACTCCTCTCTACCTACTCTTCCTACTTCCTGGTTTGCATTGGTGGTTGGTTTAAGAAAATCTGTCAAACAGCCATGATATTTAACTTGACAAAGGGTGTTTCATGGCTGAACAGGGCTGCCTTCTACTTCTGCCTGGTTTGCCTTGGTGGTGGGTTTAAGAGAATATTTCTGAAAGACTTGAGACTTAACTTGATAGAGGGAGTTTCATGCCTGAACAGGCCCGCCTTCTACTTCTGCCTGGTCGGCGTTAGTTGGGAGTTACAAAGAACCCACCACCGATGTAGGGAACCTGTCAGACAGCCTTGAAATTAAACTTGATAAACGGTGTTTCATGCCTGAACAGGGCCACCCTCTACTCCTTCCTGGTCTGTGTTGGTGGTTGGTTAAAGAGAACACACAACTGATATAGAGAAACCACTCACACAACCTTGGGATTAAATTTGATAGAGGGGATTTAATCCCTGAAGAGGGCTGCCCTCCACTTCCACCTGGTCTGCGTTGGTGATGGGTTTAAGAGAAAGGGTCAGGCAGCCTTGAGTTTAACTTGATAAAGGGGGTTCATCCGCGAACATGGCTGCCCTCTACTTCTGCCTGGTCTGCATCAGTGGTGGGTTAAAGAAAACTCACCACCATTGCAGAGAACCTGTCAGACATTCTTGAGATTTACCCTAATAAAGGGGTTTCATCCCGAATTGTTGATGGGTTTTACCACCTCCATCCCTGCTCCTGGGTGTATATATGTTTATACATATGGCTGTGTAATCCCCCACTATGTTTGGCTTATAGGAACTGACTACTATCAGTTAGGTTACTATTGTATAGTTTAGCGGCCATTGTGGAAGGATCCCTTAGACCCTTGGTTCTCAACTGGTGGGTCGTGACCCAAAAGTGGGTCGCAACCCTGTGTTCAGTGGGTCACCACATGCCTTCCTCTGGGGAAGGCTCCTTAGCCTCCCCCAGCGCACCACTGTCAGTTCTCGCGTCGAGCACCCATTCACAATATGCTAGGGTTATGGCTGTGAATGTGCTCTATCCATACATGCATTGGACTGGAGTGACATCACATTCTGGCTCCCGCCACCTCTACAGGGTGCGCAAGGGAGCTGTACAAGCAATGCACATATGGATGGAGCTCTGTCACAGCACAGCTGCCCACACTGGACTCCAGGCTGAGGATCCACTCCAGTTCTCGTAATGTAAGGAGACTGGGTGGAATAAAAAAAATAAAACATTTTTGGGAGTGTGTCTGGGAGTGTGTGAGATTGTGCCTGTCAGTGTTTTTTGAGGGACTGTTCACACTAGCACAGTGAGTTAGTAGTACGGACCAGTACGATTAACGCACTGTTCCACACAATCGCACCGACTGCGCGTTCTGGTGCAAGAGATGCGTTGCCATTTATTTGAATGGCTACTCAAAATGCACTTCCCGCCCACAGTTAAATTGCCCGCACCAGAATGCGCGGTACCACA